TAGTACTTGTTAATGTTTTCTTTTTCTACTAGGATATATTTGTCTTTTACTGTCTGAGGAGAATTGTCTTCTATAATCTATATGTGAATGAGTTTGTTCACTAATTGGTCGGAAGCAACGAATAGGCGAATTAGGAATGTTACTGGTTTCACTGCTTGAATATTCTAAAAATATACGATATTGTTAATATATAACTTTGTTTACATCTAATTTAAAGAGAAAATGAGAATAATTACCATTTGACGATTCTTCTTCATGCTGTCTTTGTAAGCAACTATTAACATGATCTTCATAATGTATTCCATTAGTGGTTTTATATTTTGAACAAACACCACATTCAAGAATTTCAGTATTGTTAATGCCTATTGGTGATGATTTATTTTCCACTATATATAAATCATTTTCGTATTCATTATCAGATATATATTGTTCGCATCCAGCAGCATGTGTTTCTATTTTATCACTTGGAAAAGATTTATTACAAATGGGGCAATTTACATTATTTGTGACATTATTCTCTGTTATCTTCATTTCTCTAGATACAGAAGTACTATCGCCCTAAAAAGAATTGAGGCACAAATATATAACATTTTACCTGTATATATTACTAAAAAGAAAAAAAAAGGATATGATTACCTCGTACAACATGTTATCCTCTACTGATGTTGTACACTTGTTTTGTCTATTTAAACCTTGTAATCTTTCTTCATCTTTGTTAGTTTTTTTTAAAGATTTCACATCTACTATAGTATTCCACTTTTTGGTTTTTCCTTCTTTATGCTTTTCCTCCTCTTCTTTTTGCTTTTCTCTTCTTTGCCTTCCTTCTAATTGTTTTTTATAAAATTCTTCTTTCTTTTTCTTTTGGTCTGCTTCCTTCTTCTCAGCTTCTTCCTTTTCAATTTCATGCCTTTTTCGTTTTTCAAGTTGAAGTTTTTCCAAAGAAACATATACATTATTTATTCTACTTGAAAAACCTTTCTTTGGTAATGGTTTAGTTTCTGTACTCTCAAACATTATTTTAACATTGTCGTTAGCATTATCATTTTCTAATTCTATGAGAATTTTTTCATCAGTGAGAATACTACCTTTATTTTTAGATATTAAAGTTATTGCATTTTGTTTTTCATTGCTACTATGTGCTAATGGACTGCTAGAAGACATATTAATAACATGTTCTCTCCTTTTAGTAATACTTCTTCTAATATTATGAGGTACTTTTTTTGGACATAAGGGAATTGATTCAGATGATAAATATTCTTTAGATTCTTTTTTACAATCTGATTTAAAATTTTCAGTTTCCATATTATCAGCTAAGAGACTGCTATCATTGTCTTGGTTTAAATTTTTATTTTTTTCACTGCATCTAGCAGTACATACCATTTTATTTGAACGTAATACCCTGTTTGTATCTTCATGAGACTGAATTTTCTTTTTTTTAATAGTATTTTCATCCTCATCACTGCTAGAATATGTTATATCAGAGAAAGAAGAAAGAATCATAGTTGATTTACGTTTATGAGGTCGTTCATTGCTATGTTTGTTTGTACATTCCATTTGATTCTGATCAGTCTTAATATCTTTTACTAATTTTTTATCCAAATTATCTTTAGCAAGACCCACCTATAGAAATGTTGAAAGAAGGATTAGAATTATAACAATAAAACTATTCTTTTTTTTACAGAAATATGATTTATTCAAAGATTGTAGCTTACAGTTTTAATTACTGTTCTTTCTTTATAAACACTTATAAATACATATGTTTGTATAAATGCAAACTTTACAACTTTTATAAGAAACACCAATCATAATCTTCGATCAGTTTTATATAAAGCATTAATGTTATTTGTTCTCAAATTATCTTATCAGTATATATATAAATAAAAAATATGTAAACTTTGCCAGTAAAGTTATCTCTAATATGTTAGTTAAATTTTATCACAACCATTGTACTGCTAATTGTAAGCATAAGAGACAACATCAAATTTGATACTATTTATGCCAAAGAGATATTATATTAATAAATAGTTACACATTTTTTATTAAAAAGAATCAATAGAAATTTATATTAAAATTATGAATATTTTAGGAGAAAACATTATCATTCTAAACATAAATCTGTGCATACAGGTAATTTTTTTTCCATGGCACAATGTTGTATTACGAAGAATTTAACTTATATGCAAAAAAAATAAATATTGGATTGTTCAGAAAGTTCATAGTAAAATTTAATAGAATGAATTTGATTTCGATTTAATTTAGTCGAATATACGTTTATATCATTCCTTATATTGACTTTTTAGCCATCTATTAAATAGCTTCATGAATATCATTTTTTGAAGGATTTTTTTGGTTACTAGAGTATTCAATTCCTCATTATTAAAAAAGTTTTGTAAAAGGTAGGATAAATGACAGTGAGATTAGAGTATATCCACTGAATAGAATGAATAGAATTGAGCATTCTAGATAAGAGCCAATATCTCAATTTCACTAAAAACATAGCAGAACTTAATTTCTGCTTTTAGAAATGTTAATTCCAATCAATGAAGTCTCCCGAATAATCCAATATTTTCTTATATTCATTAATGATAGGATCTGTAAGAAATGGATTGGATGGAGGTACCCACCTGAATGGGTGACCCCCATTGAAACTTAGTATCGGTAGTACGGTGCCAACTATGCCACAACTCTGCTGTTTGTTTCAAATAAAAGTTTAATTCAGGCAGTAACTTCTCAAGCGTCTCAGGTGTTTGTGCATCTTTGCATAATCTAAATGGCATGCGATCTTCAACTACTGGCCGATCTGGCTCTTGCAAAGGCACATCATTTTCGCTAACACAAGAATCAAGTGGATTAATTTGCCATCGATCCAATTTTTGATCACATTCAGAATGTGTGTCCATTTTTGTTTCTGCGCTATTTATAATATCTGAATCTTGTAAAGAATTTTTTGATTTTAAAGAAATATATTTACTCGTGCTATGAGAATAATTATCTCGGATATTTGAATTGTCTTGTAATCTAATAAATGTATCTTTGCTATCAAATTTTTTCCCTCTGTACATAGGGTTTCTTGAATCAGCAATAGCAGCAGCAAGATCAGAATTGCTACATCCATGTGAAGATGCTCTTTCATGTATTGGTGATGTATGATTAGGTTTATAAGAATGTATCGACTGAGTTGCATCATTGTGTTCTTGTATCTCCAACTCTTGTGTTAAATTTGCCTTGAGCATTACCTCGGAGGTACATTCACTAGAAGATTGGATTAATTCCTAAAAACATATTAATATACATATCTTAATTACATATTGCATATAATATACTACAATAATAGATATTCCATGATTTTTATAAATGTGAACAATTATGTTCAAAATAAACAAAGACTTTATTAAATATGAGTAAATCAACCTTTTGTGTATCTTTTTCATCATTAGCCATATTTGCCATATCCTTAGATTCATTAATAAACCCTAAAATTTCTTTCATATCTTTGTAAGTATACCATGTCTCGTACATTTTCATATCTGAAAATTATTTTATAAAATGATAAAATATATACATAAATAATAAAATAAATTATATATATATAAATATATAAATGATAAAATTGTTATGATTAAAAGAAAAATAATTAATAAAATTAATGCTTTTAATGAAAGCATTTTATTAAAAAGAGTAAGATTCAGGTACCTATAAGTTCTCGTTTCATTTCTTCTTCTTCTTCTTCCCTTTCTTTAGATGTGAACATCTCAACTTTATCTCGTTCCATGCTATCTGACATATTTGTAATTTCGCACGTTTAGATCAGAAACTGTCAACAAAACGTATTTTACGTACCAAATTGTAATTTAATTGTAAAAAGCTTATGATTTGTAATTTCGAATTTTTCCTCATTACTATTTAATTGTTTCTATAATATCCATTTATGGACAACGATGACGAAAGAACAAAAATTGATGGAAAGAGGTAAGCGAATGTATTATATTCGGATAACCTGAATATATGGATAACCTGAAGATTAGTGACATCGAACCGAAAGAATATATCGATATTGATGATAAGCAATTTCAGATTGTTCGATTTTTAAAATCCACTTACGTGAATAGATAAATAGATTTAGATGTATGTTACTAATGTAATTTATCATATTTTACGAAATTATAAAATAGAGAAAATTTTATTATTAACTGATTTAATGTTAAAATAGTATAAGTATATCTATTCTAGAATGAAGTGAATTAATTTCAAATATTTAATTATACAAATAATCCCATTTAGTTGGACCACTCTCCACCCTCTTAAAATTTTAACAATGTAATTTATAAGCCTAAGTAAAAGTATCCCACTTAGCGGAAATATTCACAATTGCTGAAAATTATCAATCTTAAAAAGGAGATTCCTTTCTGGATATATATCTGGTTACATACTACAATTATACCAAAAACGTTAAAAACCACCTAAAAGCTGCGACCGATTAACCCAGTTGTTCAATTAATTCCTTTATCATATTAATTTTGCAAATAAATCACATTTATAATCATAGTCAAAAATATCAAATAAACTATTAATTATCTATTCAAAAATAATACATGTGCGTTCAAGGTGAATGCGTACCATGTGCTTACACCTACCAGAATTTCCAACTTGAGAACTACAATGATCATTAATTACCTTGTTATTATTATTAATAGCATTAATTCCTACATTTATTTCATGGGGATAATCTGCCAAAGAAATAGATCTTAAACAAAGGACAAAATATTTATTAAGACCCGTATTAGATGAACTATATAATCCACATAATAAAATATAATTCGAATATCAAATTCTGTTGCCTTCCTCAAAAAATCTATTGGGCTCCTTAACGTAATCTAAAATTTAATCTAAAATTTTTTATCATTGCACAATGCATTGTTGTAAAATGAATGCATGCATTGTTATGAAAAATCATAAACATCTCTATTAGTTTGAAACACAGTCATGTGGACCAATTTGCCTTCATATCTTTATACTTTAATATAATTTTAAGACGCAACAACACAACGCTCTCTGACGGGACATGGATGTACGATTTTAATGGATGAAAATAAATATGACTGCGTCCGTAGTCAGAGCATATATTCAATCTAGGTATTTTATATTTTTGTTTAATGTTATAAATTAGAAGTATTTTTTTTGCTCTTAATACATTAGTTATACAGTATACACTAAACGTATGTTTACATATAATACTTATTGTTATTGTTTATTTGTAGACAGTATTGGATCGCAAACATAACCTTCTTTTATAATTTAATGCTAGTCCTAAATTATAAATATTTTAATATGTTTAATGTTATTATTTATAATGCTTAATGTATTTAATGCGTATCACTAAATATATTTTTTATTAATGTAATCTATTTATTTATAGTTTATCAAGGCAAGTATCAGAAGTAGTATGGCGAGAACAAAATATAAATCATACTTTACAAACCTTGAATGTATTACATATTCAACGGCAATATTATCATATTACTCTAGCTTCTTTTAAACGAAGAAATAATCGAGAAGTATGATTTAAAACGTATTAATACATTATATATACATATACATATTAGTACATATTATTGTATTATATTCAATATATGTACATAAATAAAATTATAAATTATTTTCAGAAAACTATGATATTTAATGAAGAAATGTTAAATAATTTTTCAAATGAACAATTTAAAAGAAAGTCATTGCCAGTAGTAGATGTATGGGAAAATATGACAGTTAAAGAATTAGCAAAGTCTGCTAAAAGGAATATTAACGATATTTTAGATGTACTTTATATTGTAAGTGATAAAGATATTTATAATAGAAATAGTATTTTATCAGATGGACAATTAATATCTAGCATAATTAAAAAACTTGGAGCAAAATCTAAAATTATTTCAAAGCAAACTTCAAATAAAAATACAAAGTATAAAGACATTACAAGAAGGTAATACGAAATTAATATGTTTAAATAATTAATTCAAAATAGCAATTCTTGTGAATTTTCTTAAGGCTGTAATATAATTATATTTTGTATAGACCTCTACCAGATAAGTCTCAATTAGTGAGACGACATCCAGTGGTAACAATAATGGGGCATGTTGATCATGGTAAAACTACCTTACTTGATGCATTACGACATACGTCTGTTGCACAGTCTGAATTTGGTGGAATTACACAATGCATTGGCGCCTTTGATGGTTAGTTCTAAATTAATCTTTAAATATTCATTTATATATATTTTATTATTATATAATTAAAATTTCACTGAAATATAATTTTGAAAAATGAAATATATAACTTGAAGAAAAATATTTTATTATACTTAAATTTTAGTAACTTTGGATTCTGGAGAACGAGTAACATTTTTGGATACACCTGGCCATGCTGCTTTTACCTCTATGCGATATAGAGGGGCATATGCAACAGATATTGTAGTATTAGTAGTAGCAGCTGATGATGGTGTCAAAGAACAAACCTTACAGAGTATAGAAATGGCAAAAAATGCCAAAGTTCCAGTTATTGTGGCTATCAACAAAATTGATAAACCTAACATTGATATTGTAATGTTTTAAAGCTCTGAGTTCAGATTAAAAATCAAAATTTGAGAATTCTTAAATCTCTAATTATTTTGTTTTCACAGAAAAGGACACAACATGAACTTGCAGATCATGGAATTGTAGTTGAAGAACTTGGTGGTGAGGTACAATGTGTGAAAATATCTGCTTTAAAGGGAACTAATTTACAAGAATTAACAGAAGCTATAGTTGTACAAGCGGAATTAATGGATTTGAAAGGGGATCCTGCAGGCTTAGTAGAAGGTGTTGTTATTGAGTGTAGTAATCATGTTGGTCGTGGAAAATTAGTGACGGCTTTAATTCAGCGTGGTACTTTAAAGAAAGGATGTTTGTTAGGTAAAAAATAGCAACACTAACTTTTATAAATTAAATATATTAAAATAATTTTTATTGATATTCCTTATTTTTTAATAGTCTCTGGACTAGCATGGGTTAAAGTAAGAGCTATGTTTAATGATTCCGGCCACCCTATTTTGGAAGCTAAACCATCGGACGCGATACAAATCATTGGATGGAAAGAATTACCTGATGTTGGAGATGAAATGCTAGAAGTAGAAAATGATAAAATATTGCAAGAAGTTCTAAAATTTAGAGAGAAAAAGCGCAATGAAACTTTAGCTAAACAACATAAAGCTGTTGCTGACCAAAGGCTACAAGAACATCTCATTGTAATATTCAGTGGACACAGAATGTATACATTAATTATTTATGAAAGTACAACCTATATTTCTTACTATTATAGGATTATCGAAAGCTGTTAGAAATTAGAAGAACATTTGGAAGAGATAGAACAGTAATGAGAAAGGTGAGGGAAAAAGTGGCTGAAAAAGAAAAAAATAAACGTATAATAGAGGATCCTACTCCAACAGTTAATATTATTATAAAAGGTGATGTAGCAGGAAGTGTCGAGGCATTATTAGATATTTTTGACTCATATAAATGTGATAAAATATGCAAACTAAACATTGTTCACTATGGTGTTGGATCCATCACAAGCTCGGACATAGAATTAGCGGGTACATTTAAAGGTAACAAAATTTTAAAATAAAGTTATATATTACTATACATTACTCTAAATTATTTATCTGTTCTCAGCAATTATTTATGGGTTTAATGTAAAGGCAATTAAAACAGTAGAAGAAGAGGCCACTGCAAAAGGCATAGCTCTTCGACTGTATAACGTTGTATATAAACTTATCGATAATGTTAAGGCAGAAATTATTAGTTTACTACCTGAAGTCAATATCGAAGAAATAACAGGTAATGATTATTAATATTATATAACAGATAATTATAATATAAATATTGTATGTTAATAATGATTTCTTTTCGATTTTTAAATATAGGTGAAGCAACAATATTACAAAAATTTGATATAAATGAAAAAAATAAGAAAGTAAGCGTTGCAGGTTGCCGTTGCGTTAAAGGCGTTCTTTTAAAATCTGGACTGTATCGTATAGTAAGAGGAAATGAAAATATTTTTACAGGTAAATTTGTTATGAAAATTATGAAATTCATTTACTAATCCATTACTTTACGTTTTATTAATTTCATTTAGTATTTTATTTTCCATTGAATATTAATTTTAATACCTGTAACATACATTTTTTATATTTTTATCAACAATATTTGAATACTTTGTTATAGGAAGATTGGTATCAATGAGGCATTTAAAGGATGAAATGTCGTCGATAGAAACTAATCTCGAATGTGGTCTCAGATTTGAAGATCCAACAATATCATTCCAACCTGGAGATAATATTATTTGTGTCATAATAAAAAGTGAGAAACAAAAGCTTGATTGGGATCCTGGATTTTAATTGGATATTGTTGTATTTAGAAAATTACAGAATAGTATATAGACAATATAAAATAAAAAAATACAAATGACAAATCACTGACCTGTCTTCTGTTTTATTAATGGCATATTAAATTATTTATATAAAATGGATTTTTACAAAATGTAAGTACAAATTTCTTTATTATTGCCTTCGTGATGCAACACTGTAGTTCTTGCACTTTATCGATGGAACTTTTCCTTTGTTTGAAACAGATATGGATGAGCCATTTTATCATAATCGGTAGTTGATTATTCTGTCTCTTATTGGTGTATTAGCTTCTTTAAAAAAAAACGTATAATGTCATAGAATCATAAGAATTGATCATGTTACATTGGTATTTAAAAATTTCAAGTCTTTTTCAACTCAAATTTCAATGATAAGTTAAGACATTTTTATCCAGAAACAAAAAGATATAATTGTGTTAACACCGTTAAGAAGCATAAGTTTCTCGAAGTCGACGTTGAATATGGTGATACGCAGTCATAACACCACGTTTCTTTTTCTGTAAACGACACAATGCTGGTTCTTGGTTGGCTTGTGCGATTTTTGTATCTAAAGGCTCGATAAGAGTATTAGTATCTGGATGCACGAAAAATGCAATGGAATGACGACCTCGACCACAATGTTCTGGTACAACAACTCGGTGTCTTAATGCTGGTAATTGATTGTTTGTCCAGTTCGCTAATATATCGCCAGTGTTCACCAAAATTGCACCTGGGAGATGACCAACTCTTCCCCATCGTTCACCGTAAGGAGTCTGTATTTCTAGACCACCTTCGCAATCCTAAAAATAATTAAATAATTAAAAATTATTATGTTATAATTTATATCTTGGTGGATTAAAAAGAAATTTAATTGCAACTTAGATAGAATTGGAAACTGAAAATACAATTTAATAAAAAAATATATCTAATCGGAATTTTTATTAAATTTTATAGATATATCTACCTGTGCCAACAAAGTGAAAGTTCCATAATCGCAATGAGCACTACAACGAGCCAATCCTGGCGCTGGTGCACCAAGAGGAGGATAGTAAAGAAGACGAAGGGTCGACTCGTTACCAGGTCCCAGCATGCGCGAATGCTTCGACAGCAGGAAATCAGGGGATTGCTCTAGGCCCACGGCCAGAGCCTACAAGGCATAGATCACATACATTGGCCCCTATTTTTATTTTATAGTACCTAATGACGGCTGTAAAGCAACCGAAGAAACCAATCGTGTTAGTTTGCCTGCGGGATAGATTGGTTTGTAGGGTTACTCACAGTTAAAGCAACTCACTTTTGTTAAACTATCTGTCCATAAAGGCTTCCGGATCGTTATGAACAAACATCAATGGAGAAAGAGAAAGAAATATATTTAGAAGCGTTTTAAATATTTGTGCAACGCTGTATAGTTTAATATTACGAAAGGAAGAGATTATAGCTGTGAACGAATCTATTCAATGTAATTCTATTAATTCTTTGCTCCAGAAAAGTTTGAATTAAAATGTTCGAGTTTTTTAAGAAGCAGCTTAACGTGAGATCCAGATTTTTTACGTCTAATAAGAAGTAATAATATAAAAAATGCTCAACTAGTAGAAATTAATAACACGAAGGGCTGGATCTTGCGTCAACCTTTAGAAATTGTTTTTATAAATTAGAAGACAACTAAAATCTATTTTGTATGTTCATATATAACAGAAAAATTTGACATTACAGTTAAAAGCATTGCGGATAGTTGCTTGAAGTCACGAGCAAGTTCGTCGACCGCCGATTTAAAACCAGGTACTTCCTCGTCCGGAAGAGGTCCCTCGCGTCCGGTCACATTGAAAACATGTCGAGCTTCTTTCTCATCGGTGTATCTATGAATATAAACCACAAAAAAAAAATATTAACAAGTTTAAATAAAAATTCTCTTATAATAAATTCAGTTTCAAATAAACTATACTTTGATGGTCCTGGTTTCACGTATCCGTAGTTGCTCTCATTGCGTTCGTACTTGGTTCGCACTTCCTCTGGGAGTTCGCAGAATGCATCGAAAGCTCTGTAAGCTGCTTTCATCTGTAAATAATACATTATTATTACAATAGTAATTATCAAAACTCTATGTAAGCCTAGTATTATGAGATTATTTTATAAATTTTCCAAGATTAAAAAGACCTTTTAATGAATTTTTCAAGATCAAAGATTTTTTTATGAATTAGCGACATGTGATTTCATGAGAAGTACATATATAAATTCAAATGGTTAATGATCCAAATATAAAAAGACCCGAGAGTAGCAACACCTCATTGAGTGAAACATTATGTAATTAATGTCTGAGTTCGGTATCAGGAACCTTCCAAGGTAACATTCGTGAGATATCGACGAAACCGGTGACGACAAAGTTATCACATTGATGCGTGTCATTTCAGTTATCACGAGCTTCTGATTAAATGACTTACGAAATTGTGTAAAAACCTGTCTCATCGACTGTGAATATACTCAATACTAGGAATGATAAAAAAGTATGTGAAATATATAAGAATATTGCAAAATTTAATAGGCACAGAAAAAAGTAAGAATAATATTCCAAAGAAAAATGACTTTTTGACTTAACATGCCTAGCGATCTTCAACGAAATCATTGACAAAAAGTTCCATAATTTGTTGTATTGGTTGCATTAATGCCATCATTCGTGTTTTATGATTATTTAAAATTCCTTGAAGAATAATGTAGACGTAGATAATATATTTCAATGGCACTATGAGTCAATTTGAATAAGCAATTTACCAAAACTTTAATCGATGACATCGGCTGAAGAAATTAAACAACAATTTTTTCAATCTGAAAGAAGTTATGATTATTTAAAAAATGAAAAATCTAGGATATTTTTTTTATAGAAATTTATAATGTACATATTTTATTTGAAAGTTGAAGGAATATTAGTAGAAACGTCGTTGTATTTAAAAGAAACAGCATAAATGTGTTTTTATGTAATCTCCATGTGACCTTTTGACACGCTATTTTAAATTCTACATGTAATAGAAGCAATGCCACATGTCTTGCAATACGTACTTTTTACATACTCTGCTTTATATTATTACTTAAATAAACGCTTAGCACTATGGAAAATCCAACAAATTTCATAAAAATAGTGCGACAGTAAGACGGTTGTAAATTGCAAAATCAAGTCTGTAAGATGCGCCTCGATCCTTGGGAGTATCTCTGAGTTCACAAAATATTTTCTAAGCTTCTCGATTACCAAAATAAGCTTGTACGCGCGTTTTTCAAACTGAATTATTTTGGAAGACTATATCGTTCAACTTATCTATAACAAAATAAAATTTTGCAGTGGAGAAATATTTTGAAGTTGGATCTACATATATTAAATAATTAATTGTGTGGTGCCGTAAAATATTCATGTTTGGTTTTTATGCTTCTTTTTGCAGGAATCGTTTTTATTGCTTATTATTTCCTGTAAATGTGATGATAAATTTCTGTAAATTTCCTGTAAAGATGTGAACTTTACTTACAATTAGTCATCTAAGTTGCTTGGAATCTATTACTGATCGTGAAATAAAATAGACGTTGGAAATAATTTAAGATTTTTGCAACGAAATACAAAATTATAATAAAAGATTTTAATTACAAACCGAACAATCAAGCGTCAAGTTAAAATAAAATATAATTTTCTAAAGGTGAACAAGCTTTCAAATTAGTTATATATTACTTATTATATGTATATTCTATAATGATAATATAACATATAATAAAGTAAATAATAAAATCCATAATATTATATATAAACTTTAGTAGAAAATTTGTTCTAATATGAAACAAAAATACTTACATAGCATCGAAAAGCCAGGATAGTAGCTTGTTTTATTACTTCAAAAAATAATACACTTAATTACTTAAACAAAATTAATAAATTTTTCATGGCTTCATTAACAAAAATAATGAAAGCTTTTATGGTAAAATTATTCTTTACAAACGTCATATGTGTTGATATTTTTATATGATATCTTAAGTCTTGAATCTATAAACATTAGTGGCTAAAATAATCGACTAAACTATAAAAAAATCTATGCCTGTATAAATAATTAATATTAATTATTACATTAATAAATGCTCTCAGTAAATTCAAGGCAAATCATAGACCATCTGCGTACTATTTTTCTACGCTCCTGTTCCACAAGAAGATCGCTTTATCCAATTAGTAACATTGATTGCCACAGAATTCTTCCATCGATCGAATACGTTGTTTACCATGAGAGTAGACTGGAATAGACCAGGCATGCTGGCCAGTAAACAATCTATTTCACATTTTAAATGGGTTGCAACTATCTAATCGAATCAACAACTGCCACATGAACCAACATGTGCCTAATTTAGGTTGAGCAATTACTCGAGAGATTCTAAGGCATCGTACAGATGCTTGTTTTCGCTTGTCTTCCCCCTTTCCTAACCTCATCGCTCGTATTCCTCTCACCAATAATTTTTAATTCGATTCCAGCCGAGGTAATTAAAACCGACAGTTTGTTTGAACCAATTGAGATGTGTATGTGGCTGATAATGAAATATTGTGACGTCATTGCGAAGGACCGTCGAAAAGTAACATGGAATTTTTTCAGGAGGGAGCGTGTTTGGTTAACTGGCTAAGTTTGTATTCAGATGGAATATCAGAATGACCGAACTAATATTATTATATAGCGAAATTTTACAGGTCATAAATTACCATTGCACAGTGATAAGAATAGTTTGGTAACAAAGCAAAATTAAAAAAAATTATAAATTTTTTAGACATACAAATTTCAAAATTGCGATATCTTTAGACACAAGGATTTGAAGATTTAGGAATTTGAAAATTAATAAATTTTAAATTTTGCGAGTTTCGCATTTTGAATATAATGTAAATTTTACAAATTAAGAGTTAGTTTATTATCCATTTCATTCGTCGATTGTGAAACGACAAATTTAATTATGTAAAAAGGCCTTTGTGTCATGTATGTAAAATAAAGAAATCAGGTATACATATCAATGAAGATATTCAGAATTTTAAAGATACATATCTCCCTCGATAACTGACCAGTTAAGGTACCGATTCATGGTCAGTTAGCGAAGCACTACTGTAACAGATGGCGCGGTGAAATTTGTGAAATAGTGAATGCCTTCGTGTTATCTATTATCGATGTGTAATGTATCTTTTACGCAATGTCTGATAAGAAATTAAGGTGCGACCAATAGGGAATTTCCTATATTACAAATGTAATCATCCAATTAGTTGGTTTTCCTTTTCCTTCTTTAGAAAAATGTCTGTCAAATGCGGATATGATTCTGCCTTTTAGTTTGTAGTTGATATTTTCCTTAAAATAGAAAGCTATATGTTAAAGTGATATCGATGCACATACAATGCGCATGTGCAGCAGGCGATTATATTGTTTAGGTCTTTAGGGTAATTTATAGGGAAAATAGTCAAGAACTAACGCAGTGAGAAAATGAAGTTTAAGAAAGTCTTTCAAAGAGAATATAACAAATAATTTTGATACTAAAATTTTAATGAAAGTAACAAAAATAATACAAAATGTAATAGATGAAACATTTGTTTTGTAAAGCGTATCTTTCCGGATTGTTTTTCAATTGTCTGGTCTAAGATTGGGGTTAGGTATCTTGTTGGATATGTATAATTGTTTCCTGATAATTAAAAGAAATCAAATCATTGAATTTGTTTGAACGAACTAGTTATATACCAATAATTAATTAATTTTCTAAATACCTCCCTTACTTGATGCTAAGCTATCAATCACCATAATTAATGCTAAACCGCTTAGATGGAATTTATCGAGCATGCGAAAGAAATTTGTTTATTCATTATGGAAGAACCCATAATACGGTACGATACAGGCGCTGAATATTTTTTCTTCGAGTTTATTCTAATATTCATTGTAAAATTTCCTCAGAATTGTTTTTTTCTAATATTTCAACTCTCGTGGCAAAAAAAAGGGGGGGGCGGAGATATAAAAATGTTTGTGTTTACAAATATTTTTAAATTCTTCAATCATCATATGCGAATTTTTTAATTTTCCAATTTTTACACCTTCAAATTTCGAAATTTTCAATTTGAGAATTCAACAATTTCAATCCTTAATTTTAAGTTTTCAAATTTTACTTATTTAGGCAAATGTTCCTTTTTTTCGTAACAATTCCAAAACTCCAAATTGTCAATTATACCGGATGTTCATTCCCATTCAGTTGCAAGTCACCGGCAAAGTATAATAGTACGCGTACGCGCCAAATGAATTGATACATTGTATGGGTGGACGTAGCGTAAAGATAAACGATAAATACGTTCGCGTATTTATAGTAGATCACGCGCGAATTATCTCGTGAAATTGTAACGAACCGGTCATGATAACGGGCTTCTTCTTTGATACGAGGTCTCACCAACTTCGGCAAGGTCATCGCGTAAAATCCACTTATTACATTATCTTCGAACCCTTGAAAATTTGTCATGACGTATCATCGTAACGAGGGCATTAAGAAATCTCCGTTGACATAATCTGACGACTGATCAACAATTATATACAAATTATTATTTATTATTATTTACAAATCGAAGCTGCGATATCTTATACTAAAATATATTAATTTTATTTAAGAAAAAAAAAAAGAAAAAAGAATACAATGTCACCCATAAATATTAGGATATTGTCCGATATTTTTCATTGCAATAAATCCCTTTATGTAAGCTTTGTATACTTGCAATCTAACATTTTTCAAAATTTGTATCTTTAAATTATTTTATTATAAGAAATGTTACTTCATTCACATCATATGTGTCTTATAATAAAAGATACTAAATAAAGCTATTAATTGTAATATTAAAAATGTCCGAATGCGTATCATTCATTTTTATTATTCGTTTCTCATATCGTAAAAAGTGTTATCATTTTCAACGATAAACCAACGAAAAGTTTGCGCGTTAAGGGGTAAAATTTCTTTTTTTTTCGCTGCAACCTTGCGAATTTTATACCTATTTCCCTTGACGTGGATTTCGCCGTACTTCGCCTTGACTCCTTTAATTCTGGTTCCATGCGAGATAGTAATTTTGTAAGTCAACCGAGGACGCGAGTTTTGTTACAAGGTAAGGTCTCATCGTGCGTGTAATATGATGGAACGCGTGGCCATCAAGAATACTTCTCCCCATTTAACAAGCTTACACTTTTGCAACTGGATATATTCTCTCTTTTTTTTTTTTTAATAATTCATGGTTAATTAAATCAGTATAAAATTACAGCCTTCCTTCCTCATAATCTTTAATGGAGAAATTTGAGAATTCCAATTAACAAAGCGGTGAAATTTGAGGCGAATTAACGATTCGAGCAACTGGAGGTGGGAAAATGTTTGTTTTACAGAATTTAAGCGGGTGACATCGAAGCTGGGGTAGGGGCTCTGGTTATTGAACCGAGTCAAATACTCGAAATTCGAGTCGGCCACTCCTTTTACTAAAACGAATCGTATGCTTGAAACGTGAGTAGACGCTTGGAACTTGATTATTTGTATAGTACTTTGCGATAGTAAGTAATTCGATTGCTTAACTACTGTAACGTATGTATTTATTCATTCAGAGTTCAATTATAACTAAACTTGAATATAAACGTTGAAAACATACATTAAAAATATAGTAAAATCAAGATATAGTATCTCGTGTAATATGTTATTCTTGACAAATTTCAGGAATAAAATTAAGATACTAGGAATCTAGAGCACAGAGATTCAGTATGACAAAATTAAAAACCTGAGCGATAATTTAATCTTTACATTAAATATATTATTAAATTTTGTACATTTAGTATGTTGAAATCAGAGAAGTCTATAAGAACAGACTTATATCTCTTTTCTGTAATACGTAAGTGTTCATACGTAGATACATGTATAAATAATTAAAAATTATTCAACATATAAATATTTAAAAATACGTATTCCGTTCAACCAAACTTGAACTATCATAGAACTTTCAATAAACACGTTCAACAGGATTTCGAATTTTATTTTTTCAAATATTCCCATCATTCAACTTGTTAACACTTTTTGACGCGTATAATCACGCGAGTGCCCGGATACGTGTACCTAATGTTCGAAACGCTGCTCGATTCAACGATTACGATGTAGAACGAGTATCGATGGAAATGCGTACCTTGCATTCTGGAATGCCGTGGTTGACGAGCAAGGCCAGTCCTTTCTCGGACAGCGCCCTTAGCAGCTTCGAAGCTACTTGCTTCACGACACCCTTCTGAGGACATCTCTCAGTCCCTGGAACAAGAAAACGAAAAAAGTGAGAGAAGCAGAAAGACAAAAACACGGGGGACAGTAGAACAGATCATAAATACCAGGGATTTCCATATACGTTGAATTTTTTTCAACTTGATCGTCGAGTGCTACTTTAAGTGTACTCAAACTCTCGAGCGTTGCGTGGTTTCGATTAGATTGGGATCGCAATTAAATTGTAGGAAAGTCAAACGTCATATTAATCGAAAATTTTAGATTCGAATCGATCTCGATTCGAAGCACAGAATTTTTGGGATTAACTTAAATCGCTTAAGCAAATATCGAATCTTTTAATCGCTCAATTTATCTAAAAATCTTTGAAATCTCTTGAATCTTATCTTCACAAAGAACTTTGTGAACCATTCGAATTGCTCAAGAATCGGATTCTTGAGCCACTCGACTCGCCTCAGCGTACGATCTAATTGATCAAAAAATTCAATCTTTCTACTTTGATCCACGTTATTTCTATTTTCTTTATCTACCGGAGATTTCCAAAATTCAAATATTAAATATAATCGCAATTAAACTGTAGGAAAGTCAAACGTCATATTAATCGAAAATTTTAGATTCGAATCGATCTCGATTCGTTAGCAAACTGAAGCACAGAATTTTTCGGATTAATTTAAATCGCTTAAGCAAATATCGAATCTTTTAATCGCTCAATTTATCTAAAAATCTTTGAAATCTCTTGAATCTTATCTTCACAAAGAACTTTGTGAACCATTCGAATTGCTCAAGAATCGGATTCTTGAGCCACTCGACTCGCCTCAGCGTACGATCTAATTGATCAAAAAATTCAATCTTTCTACTTTGATCCACGTTATTTCTATTTTCTTTATCTACCGGAGATTTCCAAAATTCAAATATTAAATATAATCGCAATTAAACTGTAGGAAAGTCAAACGTCATATTAATCGAAAATTTTAGATTCGAATCGATCTCGATTCGTTAGCAAACTGAAGCACAGAATTTTTCGGATTAATTTAAATCGCTTAAGCAAATATCGAATCTTTTAATCGCTCAAGTTATCTAAAAATCGAACTTTGTGAACCATTCGAATTGCTCAAGAATCGGATTCTTGAGCCACTCGACTCGCCTCAGCGTACGATCTAATTGATCAAAAAATTCAATCTTTTTACTTTGATCCACGTTATTTCTTATTTTCTTTATCTACCAGAGATTTCCAAAATTCAAATATTAAATATAATCGCAATTAAACTGTAGGAAAGTCAAACGTCATATTAATCGAAAATTTTAGATTCGAATCGATCTCGATTCGTTAGCAAACTGAAGCACAGAATTTTTCGGATTAATTTAAATCGCTTAAGCAAATATCGAATCTTTTAATCGCTCAATTTATCTAAAAATCTTTGAAATCTCTTGAATCTTATCTTCACAAAGAACTTTGTGAACCATTCGAATTGCTCAAGAATCGGATTCTTGAGCCACTCCACTCGCCTCAGCGTACGATCTAATTGATCAAAAAATTCAATCTTTTTACTTTGATCCACGTTATTTTTATTTTCTTCATCTACCGGAGATTTCCAAAATTCAAATATTAGATACAATCAAATATAAATATATTATAATCGATTTATAGCCAAAGCCCAATTTCTTTCTTCGTATCTACAGCAGCTCGTTTCGCTATTTAACCTTACGATAATACTATGAAGTATCTTCTTCGCCCCCCTAGACGCGTGTATCGATTATTTTTTTCATTCACGGATTGACGCTCATTGATAGACACGCGGTTATCGGCGCGCGGAATGCAAAAAGATGAGGACGCTTTTCTTCTTCGGTGAACCACGCTGACGAAGAGCGATGGATTGACGTTAAGTGATGAGTTTCATCTTTTTCTGATACGAGGTCACGTTCGCGAGACAAGACCGTTCCTTTGACAAATCGTTATATTTTTGCTTTGTGAAGCTCGTAAAAGAATCAGTGAATGAGGGACACGGCGAGTCTTTTAGGTCTCGGCCAGATATTTTCAAATGTTACGCACAATTTTTGTGTACATGAACTCAACGTTCCTTCAAATTCGTACGATTTTTACGACGTTCTGTCTTTGATTTACGCAACTTTCTCAAACATTTCGAAATTTTTACGGTTTCTTAAACATCGTTAACACTGGAAATTTTTGTAAACCCAAATACTTCGCAATAGTTTTGATTTAATTCGTGTCGTTCTTTCTTACATCTTCGTCCAGAATTTCAAAGATATCGATGCATCGCGTTCTGTTTTTTTTTTTTTTTTTCGTACATTTCTTACCTTTTCTTTCATTCTTTTCGTTCGCACATCCATTTCAATGCGATTTACGTATGTTGTTTGTTTATCAAAACACAATACGCGCACAATGTATCTTGTGGAAATGCATTTCCTGAAATCTCTTTTACAGATGCGTTTTACTCTGATTGTTTAACGCGTGTTAAAACACGAAACTCGAGACACATCACGAAATCGTTCGATAAGGAGTTTGTTACACGTTTATTCTCCGATCAAGTTATAAATTCTTCAATGTTGTTTAAAACGTGTATTTAGTATTTAATGGAGAACGCGTGATTTTCAACAGCAAGGGTGATTTGAACCACAAACGATAGTTACGATAATTGTTTCGTGACAATTATTTATAGAAATCAAGTTCTTGGACGATAAGTGCGACGTATTACGTTCGCGAGTGAATCGATCAGTCGAAAACGTGAGGATAATGTGATTTCAATGTTTCGAGCATGAAACCACTTCCTCAAGCTATTTTTGACAGTAAGGAAAGACTGGCACTGCACAATCTAAAATTTCACTCGTATACGTTCGTGCCTTTTTATATCGTTATTATTTTTTTATGAATATCTGAAACTTTTAGCAGTTCACTTCTAATTCTTTATCTAATATTTTTTATTTCCTTTGCGTCAATATAATAAAAGGATATTTCGAGGGATTTTTGAAACTATTTTCCATTTCTCAATTATACAGGCAGATGCATTTTAAAATTAAGATAAATTTATTTACTTCGTCTTACCTCATCATTATCTATCTACCTTCTTCTAAAAATATGTTTCGTTCTATTTTCAATCGATTTAAAATTATTACTCGAAACCAAACTTTGCACAAGATAATCGACATTTTCTCTTCAATCTCGGAGTAATGAACAAGATAATGCTTAACTAATTCCACATATGCGTCAATTTTGTTATCTGCAAGTTATCATAAGGGATAATTTGAAATAAAATCTGATTTCAATATCTCGGCATTTCAACAAATAATAGACTTTTTTTCTTTTTTAAATATTTATTAAAATTACAATTAATTCTCGCGTTGAGAATTTTCAGTAATTTTTCAGTAATTATTTCTAATAAGTTAATACTTATTATAGATAAGTATAAATAATAGACTTAATGGTAAGATGAGCTTTTCCGGCTGTCGTTAATTAAGAAGGTCGAAAAAAAAAAAAAAAATTGCGAAATTGTGCGATTCGAAGCAAAAACCTTCGTTCGTGTCGTGCCACGCTCTCATTTTTCGCCAGATGCCGATAAGAAACGTTATCGCGATTCACGCACGATGCGCTCGCCGACAGATCTTGTTTCAACGCCACGTGGCGACGACGATTGCTTTCTCGGTGCTTCTTCGCTCGTGAGAACGTGATTTCACTTCGCGACACGAGAGATCTCGTTAAAATCCACGATACGGACACGTTTCCCCTTACACCGAGGTGTATATAGTATACATAAACACGTTTTTCCTTCTTTTAACTTAATACGAGACATTAGGTGTCGAAACCTGCAATCGGCTCGCTTGATTTTGCATTGGGCAGGCGATCGTGTTTGAAATTGTCAGCCATTTGATATCATATTCTTATTTATCGCTTGACGATTGATATCTTTTGATCTACAGAACTTACGTGAGAGTAAATTATATGTCGGAGATGAAGGGAAAACCGGAGCCTTCCCTTTGCAATTTTGAGGAAGCCTTCTAATGCTTTAGCCTAGATTTTATCATAACTGTAATTAAGCAATTGTCATTTGTAATTGTTTGACATTTGTGAAAGCGAAAGTGGGTTCGAGGTGACAACTGGTCGCCGAACGTAGCCACGGTCACGGGATAAACGTTTTGCCTGACGAAGGTGTGGATCGTTTTCCCTAGAAATCACATAGAATTGTACTTTAGAGATGCTGATATAATGGGACACACGTTGTATTAGGAATCAATCTCCAGACAGAAATTGCCTAGTATCGGCGTTTGGATCTTTCTCGATGTTTCCAAAGAGTATACAACAAACTTTTGACAGAAATTGCCTAGCAACAAC